AAAAAAAAAAGCTACTTTGTTTTAGGCTCATCAGCTTCCATGCTTATAATGGTAAATTCATCGGTTTATCTTTCTAGAACTCCTTTGACAAAGTGATGTGTTTTTTGGATTCCTTTCACAGGAACAAGAACTTCAAATTCCTCAAAGCGGAGAATAAGGATCAAATAAAATGAAACCAAACGACTGTTTTACACAACAGGAATTATAGATAAAAGTAAAACACCATTCATGCTATAATTGCAATTATCTCATGTCTGCTTAGAAAAGTTCTTCGCCACATCGATCGAAATCCATAAGAAAATATAGCACAGATAGAATCATAATAAATGTATTTTCAAATCGATGAAGCAATATAGTTGGACATAATAAGTAGTATTAAACGACAACACTGTCCATAAACTTCAAAGAGTAAGTGCAACGAGCGACGAACTTAAAACGTAACTAACTTGCGGCGACAAATGATGTCTAACCTTAAAATGTGGAGGAAAAAAATCCTTCAATTTCTCCCTTAAGCACAAACCAATCACTGTCGCCATGCTGCAGTGCTGGATGGTCGGCGTAAAAGTTATCCTACAGATCAATAGCAACATAGGAAAACAAAATCTCAGTACTCCTAATCCCACTCCAAATCTCCAACATTTAGCATAGTTTCAGTTCTCAACAGAAGTGACATCAAATCACCAAAAAAAAAAAAAAAATTAGCTAAAGCGCCAAAAACAACTTAATGCACAACAAATAAGATTGAAATAACCAAAACCGTCAGCAATTAGCAGCAGGGGAAAGAAATTGAAAGGGAAAAACTAACAAAATGCGGCCAAGCTTCTCATCGACAGTGATCGATTCCTCGGAGAGCACGCTGAGCTGCTCCAGCGAGTAGGGGTGCTCTGGATCTCGTATGTCCCTCACATGCTGTACCGATTACCAGTCAAGGGACACAATAATTCGACCTCATTTCACACACAAAACTCGAATAAAATCAATCAAACAGCTTTAAATAGTGAAGCAGCCAGCTGAAGAAAAACATAATCCATAATCCAACTGATTCGCAAGCAGGAAAAAAAAAAAAGAGCACCGATCGACGGCGAAGGATATCATAGATTTCGAGGGGATCGACGGCGTCGTCGGCGTGGGGATCGTCGGTACGGGCGAGCCTTTCCTTCTTAGCGTGGACCACCGGATTAGCGTTGATCAGCCCAAGAGTCATCTCGGAATGCTCGTCTCTCCGATTATCAGCTTGGGTAAAAGAAAAAAATAAATAAATAAAAGAAAGAAAGAAACTCACGTGGACTCGTCTTTTTGTCTTCCTTTAGTGGCGGCAGAGTGCAGGCAACCACGCGTCCCAACAGAAGACTGAAAAATTAACAATGAGGGAGGGTGTACGGTTAGTCTATGTGCCACAGCCCACAGAACCGAGAAAAAGTCTTTAGTTTTCTTCGCTGGTTTTCTGTTTTTCAATGCCGACGATGTGGAGCAGGAGGGAGATGATGTATGTGGCTGTATTTGCAATTAAAATGACAAATAACACAAATATTAAGGAAATTGAAATGAAAGTAGTATTTCCCATTTAACCTTTTTTTTTTTGTGCGTTAGATAAACACCGCACCATATTTTGATAAACACCGCACCCCAAATATCCATTTTACTGTTATTAAAATATAATAATAAATATTCAATTTTTAATTATTTTTTTTAAACATAAAAAAAATAAAAATAAAACATAAAAAATAACAATATCTTTACAAAACTTATCAAAATTTCAAAAAAAATAACATTCAATCAAAAAAAAATTTAAAAAAAAAAACCAAACTTGAATAAAAAAATCCGAAAAATTTGAAAAATGGCGGGACAATTTTCAGGCACCGGGAAAGGAGTCTCCAATTCACAGGTATATTTTTTATTTTTTTTTTTACAATTTTAACGAAGAAAAAAAAAATAAAAAATTTTCTGTGGCCGGCCGTCCGCCAATTGCAGTTGTGGTGGACCCGGGCAGCCGGCCTTTGCTGCGATTTATGGTACGGCCGCATGGCGACCGCGGCCACGAGTCATGTGGCCGTTATTGTCGCCTGCGGCCATCCACTACTCGGCCGCTAAAGGCGGCCGGCATTTCCTGTCGCGACCGCGCATGGCCTCTTGCGGCTGCCTGGGCCATTCCGGGCCGCGCGCGGCCGGTTTTTTGTTTTTTTTTTTTTTTTTAGTACTAAAATAATATTTTTAATTAAATATTATAATTTGTAATTAGTATAATTATTGTAAATTAAAATAATAATATATAAAATAATCTTTTATATATACTAATATAATTTTTTAAAAAATAATTAATAATATATATTAAAAATTCTATTAGTAATTAATATAATGAATAAAAATTATTTATACTAATATAGTAGGTACTATAATTATTCGAACAATTATACTAAATATTAAGTACTATATTAGATATATTAGTATATAAAAAATTAAATTAGTATTTAGTATCTATTATAAATTAATAGTATAAAATTACATTAATTATTATAGGAAAAATTATATTAGTATAAATTATTAAGTTATATATATTAATTAATTATCTTTAAAAATAAAATTTATTGATATTACGTTAGATGTTAGAACTGATTATATAATAAATAACAAATTACTATTATTATTTTGAGATAAGTTATAATTCATTATTTTGTAAAATTATTAACATACATCGTAACATAATGCAGGTGCCACTCGAAGATTTTGGAGGAGATGGTGAAGATTACCGATCTTGTTTCGTTACAGATGAGCTATTTGATAATCCCGACAAAGCAATTGAATGGGCAAAAGACATTGCAATAATATGGGGTTTCCAATTGGTCATCTCGAGACATAATAAGGATGGAATGATTCGGACGTTGAGGTGTGATCGAGGGGAACGTTACAGGGGCAAGGCAGGAAAACTAGAAAATTTAGTGAATGCTGTCTTGAGACGTTCGAAAACTAAATATACTGGTTGTCTTTTTCAGATAAATGTGAAATTTGAAGCGAAATCCAAAAAATTGTGTATCTGACTTCCTTTAGAAGACGAGAAGGAATTTCATAATCATGCGTTGACTGTGTATCCCGAGGGTCATCGATAGATGAGCAGACTCAGCGATTCATCCAAAGAGATTGTCCGTGATATGAGTGATGCTCAGGCAAGACCGGCAGCAATTTTGGCTGCAATTCAGAAGAAAACCCCTGTGGACAACACTACTTGCCAACAAGTGTATAACTATAAAGCTCAATTGCGAAAAGACCGTCTAGGGGGTAGAGATGCTGCTGGCCAGCTTCTGCATTTGGCTACCGCCAGCAACTACATAGTTTACATAGAAGTTGACCCAGACACACAGACGTTGACACGTGTGTTCATGTCGCATCCACGAGTAGTCAGTCTATTCCGGACATATTACTGGTATGTCGGTATAGATTCCACGTACAAAACCAACAGGTATATTACATTACTTTATAAATCTATATAAATATAAAAATGTTTAGTATTTACTTGAAATAGTAATAGATATCCCACCAAAAATTTCGTTCTTACTTTTATTAGTAAATTTTTTTAGAAAAATTGCAAAACGGGCGGAATTTTGAAAATTTGAATAAATCGGTCAAAATAAAATTTGAAATTGCATGTCCCAGATTTTCTTATAATCTTGGATTGGTTGTAAGTAAGGAAATTTGAATAAAAAACTAAAAAAAAGGAATGAAATTGTCTTGCGGCTTCAGTTGTCTGAGATTCTTATAATCTTTGATTTGTGCGGCAATAAGTTATTTTATTCTTAAAAAAAAATTCAGTTGATGTTGTTACAAAACGAAAAGGAAATAAATATAATAAGATTCTATTAAAAAATCAATAAAATCTGTAAAAACATAAATCGGTCAAATATTATCACTAGAAGAATATGGTCGAATCAAACAATACCTCTTCCATACTCTTCAAATTTCCTTTGCATGATATGAAAAATTAAATTGCAATTATATCATACACGTTTTATTACGAAAAAACTTAATCACAATTTATTACAGGAGAATTTAATTAAATATTATTTTTGAGACAAACATTCAAAATTGTTTACGATTTCTATTCACATTTTAATTAAAATAGTGTTAATGAGCTTTTTTTATGTTAATGAGACAAACATTCCAATTCTTCAATTTTTACGAAAGATTTAAAAGTTAGAATATACAAACATTTACTGGTTATTTACATCTATAAAAAAATAAAAAAAAAATGTGTGTATAGAAAGTTACACATATATAACAATATAATTTGGCAAATAGTATGTTTGAGTAAGTTTTTTTAATTCTATGTTTTTTGCTCTTGCTGCTTTCATTTGCACATGTACCACATGCTGTTGGTTGAGATGATTGGAATGACGCCGTGCAACAAGAACTTCTTAATTGCTTATGCAATTGTGAAGGACGAGACCGAGTACAGCTATGACTGGGTCCTACAGCGGTTGAGACTGATGATAGGGCCTGATAAACAGCCTTCAGTCCTTGTCAGTGATAGGGAGTTGGGGTTGATTACTCCTATTCAGAGGAATTTCCCAACGACGCCCCACTTACTCTGCAAGTGGCACATCAACAAGGATGTGGAAGACAGTGTCTATCGACTGACGTCCAAAAATAACATCTTCGTGCAGAAGTTCACGCACGACAAGTGGAAGAAGGTTGTCAAGGCGAACACGTGGGACAAATACAAAATTGCCGTACAAGATATGGTTGTTACATACGCAGTGTTTCCTCGTGTGCTGGATTATGTGGATAAGACATGGCTAGTGCACAAGGAGAAGTTTGTCAAAGTGTGGATGGACACTGTCTTTACATTTTGGCAACACAACATCGTGTAGGGTGGAGAATTCCCACGCTACGTTGAAGCGGTGGCTTAACACGTCGGCCGGTTCGCTCGACACGGTTTGGGAGAAGATTGACAAGGACATTGAGTCTCAACTGACTAAAGTCAGGTATATTCTTTAAGTTATACATCCAGACTGTGTTTGTTATTAATGAATTAATTAAATTTGAATTGGGTCTAATGTTATGTAATGTATTACCAGGGAGACGTTGGAGTCTTCGAGACTCAGGATGAGTACGGGCTACAGAGGATTCCCTTTCGAGCAGTTGAAACTGTGAGTCTCGCATTATTGTATGGATATATTGAATGATGAGCTTCAGAAGATGCGAGACTTCGGCAAAGATGTTTCTGATCTGTGCGATTGTGCGCTAAAAATGCACTCATAGAATTCCTTGTGCTTCTGACCTAAGGGAGGCACACACTGAAGGTAGACAGATTACGCCCAACGACATCCATAGGTTCTGGAGCACACTAGTGGTGACGGAGCCAGATATACTTGCGAGATTAATAAATTTATACAACATCATGTAAAGAATATAATTTTCTTAAATTTTGTTTAATTTTTTTTACTCCAAGTATTGCTTCATTTATAGAATTTTTGATAGAGCATATTGTATAATTTTTTAAATTTTCGGTACGGACAGGTCAGCAGAGTGCATCGGCGAGTGGATGGACTGATCATGATTATTTTCGGCGGCTTGCCGAGGAGGTTGAAACGGTCGATCCTGCGACTGCGGTACCCGAACCATGTCATCGCCTCTCAACTTCATCCTGATCAACAGGGATTCACAGAACCTGAAGTGATAGAAAATCCGAGAGGTCGCCCCAAGAAGAAAAATTGAACAAAACGCGATCTATCGAGATGGGAGTACACTATTGGAGGCCGTACGGTGGGGCGTAGAAGCACTTCTTCGTGTTCTCCATCGCAATCGGGGTACACGGAAACAGGTCGTCAGCCGGGGCGTAAGAGCACTTCTTCGTGTGCTCCGTCGAAGTGGGAGTACAGGGAAAGAGGTCGTTCGGGGGCTCGTACAAGAACTTCTTTCTGTGCCCCGACAAAGGCATCGTCTCAAGATACGACAGGTAATTTTATTTTTTTTATTTGAACAATGACTAATTATGATTGTAAATTCGATTATGTAAATTGTGACGTGAAATTATTCTCGTATTACAGATACTTTCAAGACTCCTTTCTTCCAATACCGACATTGTCACAGGATTCCCTACGTAGTTAACAGCTACGTACAGAGTTATCTAGATGTGACGGCAGATGGGAACTGTGGATTTCAGATGGTTGCGAGTTACATTCATAGGGATTAGCATATGTGGCAACTGGT